TGTGAAAAAAAGGTGGCTTCAATATAGCGAATTGATTGGAACAAATACTATTTATATGAAACAAGTAAACAAAATACGTGGTTAAGTATGTTATGTGAAACATACTGCAAAAGAAATTTTAGGTGTCTGTGATCAACAGATTTAATTTACCTGAAAATAAATTTTTCGAATGGCGAAAGATGAATGCTAATGATTTTTTAATGATCATATTATAATATTTCACTTGAATTTTTTCCTGCAATAGTTAAAAAACATCCGAATATAAGTTTTCAGGTACAATTAACAATTTTTCCCCGAATGTCAATAGCTTTAATTATTTTCATTTTAATAAAATTGTAACTGTGACACGAAATATGACCAAACGTGTGAGCAAAAGTTCCATATCAAGAAATTTTAGTTTTATTGAAAAAAAAAAATTGTAGAAAAATATTCTTTTTTTTTATAAGTTTGGATTACTAGAATACTTCCCAAATTAAGTATAATTTTTATGGAAATTATAAACAAGTTACAAAGCAAGGAACGCGTGAAACCTTTAGTCTAGCTAGCGTCACCATGGCGTCGCTTTTGCTAACTCCCCACTCACTCTCAACTTCTCCCACCACTGCACGTTTAGGGCAGCCTGCAACACCGAATACGTGTCCTGCATAAAATATACCCGTATATACTTTGCATAAAATTCAATGAAACGAGTTGAACCACAGGAAACTCGGCAATTTTTTTAAGGGTGTTTTCTGATCTACAGCAGTGATGCTAAACTCGCATAGCAACATGAAAAAAATTGTTAACAAACAGAATGTCAGATAGTACAATATAAATATCAGTATGAGCAGACCGATGTTTGTAGGTTTGACTCTCATAAAGAAATGTAGCAAAAAAGTAATTAACAGGCCTGTAAAATTTAATTACAGACAAAATTATGAAACATGGAGAGAAAAAAAAAACCAATCGAAGAATATGGCATGAAGAACGTGAAGGAAAGTATACTATAAATTATATAGCACTGCTGAAAAGGTACAAATATATAGTTAATCTGAGAATAAATATGGTATCATGTATTACATATATATATTTATATGATTTTCAATAGTAACTCTAGACGATATGACAAAAAAAAAAAAAAAAAAAAAAAAAAAAAAAAAAAAAAAAGTAGGAAAGAAAAGTGTACTGGCCACATGCAAACACAAAATAACAACCAAACTTTGAATTCTTTGATTTAGACGAATAATAATATTCAAAAAAATATCTCGTATACTTAAAACATTACTAAATATATTTACTAGAACTTAGAACCAAAAAGTTTTACTGGTTAAAAAAAAAAAAATGTTTCCTCCAAAAAGGCAGAAAAAAGAAAATATCAAAACACATCCAGTTACTTTATATTTTAAATACAAAATTTTAAATTACGTCTATTTGAGTTTATCTTGACTACATTTCATTTCATGTTTTATTCTCAAGATGTCGAATATGAATAAGGTTATGTTGTGGTCAATGACAGAAAAATAGCGTCAAGTAGTCGCGTCTGCGTTCGTTGCTAAGCAACCCCCACTTCTGATCTAAACTTCCCTCTACTACTTTCCAAGTTCAGAAAACATCTGCTTAAACTTTTTTATAAAAAGTAATTGCCTTCGTATGCTGATGCTAAGGGGAATAAATATTGACATAAAATATAATTTCCTTTCAAAGAAATTTCTATTGGCGGAAAAGCCATAATTACTCTTAATAAAGTTAGAAATATAAAAGATAAAAATATTAAATTCGTAGAATTGTATACAAATGTACAAAATTTTTAAAAGATTTTTGCAAATGATTAGTTGAAAGAATCATTTAATTAATTATGAATTTTCTTAAACTTTTTAGACCCAGCAACTCCTTTAAGTGGAAGAGAGATATCAATAGTAGACAAACTATATATAATACACAAGCTGCAAGAAACTTTATTAAAGACATATTAAAGATTCAAGGAATCTATGGTTCGAATAACGGGATAATGTATTTCAAGCAATGTGCAAAGTATATAGGTAATAAAACTACCTTTTGTAGAAAAAAAATAGTCGGGTTGAAGTTTTGGAAAAAGAAGAAAAATGATTTCCTTACATTCAATATTTGAATATTTCTAAGTCAGAAAAGAGCAGCAATTTTACAAGAAAAGTAAAGCGCCATGAAGAAGTCAGTACTGAAAATGCTCAAGCTATATACAACTTGGTAGCTTGCATTCTGTGTATGCATTGAAGGAATACTGAATAAATGAAATGTACTATATTCAATTTTTAAGAATGCCTGTGACAATAAAGAATCCAAGGCTGCAACGAAAATATTTCCAAGTATGAACTACACATACCTGAAAACCTACTTAGAATTTTTTAAATTATTATGGGTCAACAAATAAATTTGATGAAATTTTTCAAACTCCAGAGATTGATTCACACCATGTTGTTTCCACAGTGTAAAATATTACTAAGATATAAAATTGTTGATTATAACAAGAATGAAAACACACCCAGAGACAATTCTCATAGAAAATTTTGTGAATGTATTGAGAATTTATATAGAATAATACTTTGAGTATTAGACCAAAACACATTGTGCGATGAAAAATTTTCAAATGCTTTATACTTTTTAAAACCTGAGGATGCAGATAACATAAATCTGATTTTCTACATTACAGAGAGATTCCCAAAATATGTTAGGGCCAAGGTTGGAAAACAGATGTTTATTGTCTGTTCACTTTGATGTTGAAGAAATAAAATTAATGAAAAACACAGATATTGCGAATTTGAGCATAAAATCAACGCAGAAAAAACTCTAGCTGGAAAGAGACGTGTATTTTCTAATATTGTCAAGATTGCAGAATTATGTCTCACACTACCACATCCAATATTTAAAACCAAACATAGTAACAGATTCTAATTTAACACAGTGTCTGCCTTAATTACAGTCAAATTTAATTTTAAAAACAAAAATCTCTATCGTGTAACTTTTCCTGTTTTTGGTAAAATATTACACTTATTTAATTATAACATGAATAAAAAATTAGTGCAATGTAATTTAAATATTCTATGTATATATTCATGTATATTATATTTTGTATAAATTATTATATATACGACTTGATTTTTACCTGTCTTAGATTTCATTATTAAATTTGCGAAAGGTCAGGTATGCACTGACATAGCAATATTACAGATGCTACAAGGTTATAAATGAGCGTCACATCGTCGTCTCGAGTAATGGCGTCGAAAGGCTTGTCGGTTGCTAGGTTAACTCACTCCATTCAAGAAAATCTACCTCGTGATTTCACCATGCAGCACTTTTTTATAGCAACACAATATCCACGAGAAACAGTAGTTCCCTTACGTTTCACTATTCTCTGTGTTTCTAAAGCAATTAATCGATTACGTTACGATTTGGTTGATTGACACAAAATAGCGTCGCGCCATAGCATCGTATTGCTAAGCAACTAGGCGACGCGTTCCCACCACTAGAGCTGGCTCCCCCACTACTACTCTAACGGTAAGGGTATACTTAGTTCGTGCAACTGCGAGGGTAAAGCGAGTGGGTCGCTTCTCTGCGGATCTTTCCTGGCAAATCCTGCTGTATATTATCATCACTTCAAATGAACGGCATTCTCTCAGATTCTTGCACACCACGATTTCATTGTTTACGCGTCATGTTACGCGAATATTTTGAATAAATGGATACGTCACAGAAGAAAACTAATTTACCGACAGTGCACCGACAGATCAGTTTTGCGGTGAAACTCGCTGGCAATGACACATCACGCGGTGGAGATAGTAAATTTTGAACTGATGGAAGTACCTTGATGTACTTAGTAACCGACACATTTCTCGATCTGGTGTTATACTTTTCACGAACTCGAATATCGTATTTTCGTTTCATTGCATCGATTTCTAAGGTACTTCCACCACTAATTGTAAAATTTACCCTTTCCATTGCGTGACGTCACCGTCAGCAAGTATGGCGGCAACGCTGCATCAGATGGCATCTAGTATCAGATGCTGCACGTTTTCATATTCCATTTGATAATTTTTTAACGAAATTCACGTAAGCCAGATACGCCACCGGAAAACCCATGACGAAACAATTGTATATTTACATATACATATATAAATATATGTATATAATTGAACGATGATTTTATCTCCAAACAGAATTGCTGACAAAAAACTTCGATAACCCGAGAACTTTGTTTTTTCTTTTTAAATTTCGCAGTTTCTTGAAAGATCACAATACGAATACCAGATAATTTTTTAATTAAGACTTTTTGACTTTTCGGAATAGAAATCTTTCGGAACTTTCTCACCTTTTTTCCCGTATCTTGAAAATTATATGAAATATGAAAATAAATGTTAGAATGAAAATCAGAAGAAAATCAGACTCTTTATGCTTTGAAACTTTGTACAATGATTTTAATAAAATTAAATTCGTTAAGACGAAGATACCTTTTTTTTTTTTAAATTTGAAGAATAAATTTTTGACAATTTCATTGTACTGTTCTATGATGCAGAAAAATGATCATATCTACATACTAACAATTTTTTGAAGCGCCAATTATAGTTTTCAAGATGAAAATGGAAAAACGTATTAACAAATAGAGGTATTCCATCCCCTAAAAATCTGCAAAATTTCAAAAGAATAAAATTTTTAGTTTTTCGAAATTTTTTCGTAAGTAAAACTGAAACCCGTATATATATAGATAGATATATATATATATATTTCTTTTCTTTAATTCACGCACCAGATTTCTATTGCATTATATACTTGACTAAATATATTCAATTATTGCAACGATCGAGCAATACTTTGCAGCTGTTTCAAAAAAAAATTTCTGGATATATATATAAAAAAAAAAAAAAAATTATTTCATTAAATAAACGAATAATTAATTTTGCAAGATACAAAAATCGAATCGACAAAGAAAAATGATTATTCGAGATAAGAAAATTATTTAAATGTTCGAAAAACTAAAGGAAATGGCTGCCAATTCATGAGCGTTATTGTCGAAATATAAATCGATGGATCGAAAGATAACCACATGATGACGTTCACTTTTACTCGTTCCCCATTCGTACCCAGCATGCATCCGAAATTTGACTCGATCACTCTGTCACGTTCGAAACACCAGAAAAGATAATTATTCGGTATATGCACGAAACACACCCCCCACCCTCATGCGACGAAAATCACAGTTGTTTACTTCATATTTGTTTGTTTGCTTTGCTTTCATACGCACCAAGCGTTCGTCTCTTTCTCACTCTCGTTCGCCCCATACGCTCGTCTCTGTCACTCTCACTCTCTCGCGCACGTTCGTTCTCCCTTGCTCTACGCTCGCGAAACAGATAATATACAATTTGACGCATCATATACCCGCGAGCTTCGTTTCCGTCCGCTCGCGCGTACATGTGCTTTCTACATACATAATACCTATATATATGTACATATAAACTCACGCATTTTGTTAAAGGTTTGTACGTATGAAGTGTAACGTGTGTTCTTATTGTGTCAACGATGCCAACGTGTGGGTCGAGTTCGAGATTGCTCGACAGCCGACGGCCAATGAAACAATGGCGATGGACGATCCAAGAACGATAAGTGGGCCACTGCTAGGATACCAATGACGCCGACGGTAAGCTGACGTCGTCGTCGTCAGCATGCTCGTCAACGCGTCCCGTATGAGAAGCTCCGTATTAAAGAAGAAAATCAAAAGCTGATAGATCGATAATTGTCGATTGTAACAGATTTCTTCTATATGTTCGACGACGTGGTGACAGAAATATGTATATGTTGTTTCCTTCCTCGGACTATTATTTTTTTTTTATTTTTTTCGGCTGTTTTTTTTTAAATAATATGTGTTTGGTGTTTGTGTGTGGCTCGGTGGTAATTTGCATTGACAGTGCGAGGTTAGGGAGAAAAAAAAATCCTTGACGACCACAGCGTGATGACCATGCGGACAGAAGAGAGAATGCAGCGCATATATTGTTCGTGGATTTTTCACTCGAGAGTGAGCTTATCCTTTTTCATCTTCGTCCTCGATGTTCGTTCTTCGTCAGGAGAGGGAGAGCATACCAAGAACATCGGAACACGAGAGGGTTCAGAATAATCAATTAGATTGATACATAAGAGACGTTCGTGGAAGAAAAGAGATTTGCGACGGTAAAAACACGTTGTTGAATCCTTCTCGAGGGAGAGAGGCTTTATTTCGCTTTTCCTCTCACGAGAACATAGGAGAGGGTCAGACTGGTTCGTTGTTCCCCACTCCGGGCGTAGCTTCTTTTCAGGATAAACGGAAGTACGCGGGAGGAGAGCTGAGATCAATTTGTCGGGCTGAGAGGGATCCTCACAGAGCTCGCCCATATTTTTTTTCTCACTTTTGCAGGCGCGGACTCGCCAGCCGTTAGAATCTTTCCGACGGAAAGACCTGAAAAGAGCTGGATCTTCTCGCGAGACACGCCAGGACGCAAGAGAACCGCTGGTCAAGGTACATGTCGTTACGCGAACGCGCAGTATTCTCCTCGAATATTCAAACGACGATGGTGACTTCTTAACATGAGTACCCCCTCTCTTTCGTACGGTTGACGAAAATTCAGGATGACTCGCATATATATGGTTGGACTAGAGTCAATCGTGGTTACGATCGTTGCGACCTATCAGGACCCGTCGGTAAAACCGGTCAAGCCCCGTCGGACGATATCGTATTGGACGAATTTCTTCGGTGAACCAGATTTAGCCAAAAAAAAAAACTGTTGTACACTTTTTTTTTTACACATTTCATGTCCATTTTCATAACGATGCGCACGAAAGAGCCCGTTGCACTAAATTTTTGTAGAAACTCGACTCGTACGGAGTGGAATTGCGCGTTCGAGTGCACGAGAGTCAAATATTCACCCGACCAGAGGAACGCGATCACATATCACGAAACGCATGTGCTTTGATCAGTCCGAGAGCGTGATGCACGTCCAATGGAAATGACGCGAGACGCTAGCGCCGTCGCATCGATGAACCCGTGTGGAAAAACGCTTCAACTGGAAACGAACGCGGCGATCTGCTCGCTGAACTGCGAGTGCTCCAGCAACAACGAGTCTTTGCAACTCTCGAACTGCTGTTGCTGTTGCTGCTGCTGCTGCTGATGATGGTGCTGGTGCTGGTGCTGATGCTGATGTTGGTGCTGATGTTGGTGCTGATGCTGATGCTGATGTTGATGCTGGTGCTGATGTTGATGTTGATGGGATTCTTCGGGTTCGGGCTCCGTGCGTTCGTATAGAACACAGATGGATCCGTTTTCACCGATTCTGTAAGATACTTCCGACGGGTCGATCCACATAGTGAGTTCGCTGGGGAACAGGCTATGCAATACTGTTGGTAATAACCCGACGTTTGCACCTGCCTGTGCAATTACCGGATCCATTTTGCCGTTGATACGTATGCAACGGTAACCGGAGCCACGATTTGGACGATCCGGGAACCAGTGATCCCTGTAACGATGACGCAAAACCTCTGTTAAAGAGGACTTGAACATCTCCAGCTGGCGCTCAGACAGTTGACCAGTCTGAAGACGCAGTAGATGCACCAAAAAATCTGCCGCTGACACAATTTCCAGTCTCATGGTTGCTATGCGATGCGACCCAGGACGAATGGTCTATGATAAAATTTCGTCAACGTTACAACACTCGTCTTCTTCCGTCCTTTTCTCTCGCGATACAGTCGAGAGCCGGCGCGACCGAAAGAAAACACTATTCTTTCCGTGATTCGAGAGGTCACGGCTCGAAAGAGGCCGTTGTTGCTCGCGGGACGCACACAGGAGTCTTCACAAAATGGCGTCGCCGCCACGTCGCACGATCGCGTTTAGTATTCGTTCGTCGACGCTCCAGCGCGAAGACAAATATCGAGCGTTTCTTGATAATCTTTTTGCGAATATCGACAATGGTTTAACACGAACAACTGCTCCAATATACTGTTGGATAGCCACCTTTCTTTTGTTTCAGAATTTTCGAATTCGTTGTAGGACGGTCTCGCTTAAGCGTCGAGATTAGTCCTTCGTAAATGAGAAACGTTGCGATCGTAACTTTTCCAGTCGTAAACGCGCTCCAAATCGTTTCTCCGATCTCTAGGATGCCAATGAGAATCGACAAGACGACGAAACGTATGATCGAAACGATCGCAGCAATGATAACCTTTTCTCCCACGCTGGTTCACTTCGTACACTTTATAACCGCGGAAAAACTTTCTCGTGAAACTTAACCGACGCACTTTTCCCTGACTCGCGGAACAACCGCACCCACCAACTGCCAACGACTTTCTAGTAGCAGCGACCGTCGACGCAAACGATGTAGCTTTGTCTCTTTGTTCACGCAGCTGGGAGCGGGGATAGTACACGCGCTCTAATTGGATCGCTCCGATTCCCACCAGAGCCGACGGGCACGTGATCACAATCTGCGCGGTGTTGGCTGCGCAAACGTTTGCAGCTGCGTCCCGAATACGGATCGTCTGCGCGAATAAAGGTTCTCAATTGGTTTATACCGGCATCATCCCAGGAATTGATAATTTTCTACGCTCACAAAATATTTCTCCGAAATTTGAATTATGAAAACCGCACGTATGAACGTAATAATATACGACTGAGGAATTAGGGAAATACCATTATACTTCGTGGTTAAAAACAATCTCATTTTTTACGGATTTCATTCGTTTTCTCCATTTTCCTCTTAAATATACACTGCATAAATCAAACTCGAACGTTTATGACTCAATATATATTGAATTGCGTCACTACCGAAAATAAAATGATTTAACAAATTTATTAAGAATCACGTTAAGTCGTGTCCTTATTCATTAATACGTATGTTAATGTTTAATAAGCATATCGTTATAAATACGAATAACTTTGGCATATAAATTATTGTTTACAATATAATTGTTCTTTTTATTATGATTCAATCAATTTATGAAGTTGTATGAAGCGTATGGAAAAATAATACGTAAAATATCAATTTTTGGAGTATTTTAACATTTACTTTAAATTTTGTCATAATCATCTTCTTAAAATCTTCAAAGTTTACTCTCATAAAAATTTATTTAACCAAACATTATTAATGAAATAACGTTTATTTTCCACTTGAAATGAAATCGAGTAAGTACAATAATTAGCATATTAAAGAGATAAATATCAGAAACAATATTTTCGAGGATATTATTTACGTATAAATTTCGATTTCCTGATGAAAAACATTTTAACAAACACTCGTGTGGTGAAAAATAAAAGATACAAGATAAGATTAAACATTTTATCAGTTCCATTTTCGAGTATAAAATTTTATCATATTTTTCTAGGTGTCAAGGTAGAATCATAGCGGACCTTACTTTAATTATGGGTACTTGGCCTATTCTTCGTACAGAGAACAATTACACGAAGCAGAATAACTAGTTGAGGATCTTGGGGGACAAGGTATCATTCTTTGGAACACTGTCATGCAAAACAATGCTCTTTATGACCGCGTCAATAATCTTTTTTAATGTCTCAAGGCTTGCTAGTAAATATAATGCAAACGAATTCCAGATTCGTTGATATAATGCAATCGTCATACAGTATTTTTCTTGATAATTCTACTCTTCGGAAAACGCATACGCACGTACTTATTTACAGTGTGCAATATCGTGTCTCTTTCGCTGTCTTTGTCACGCGACGCTATGTGGTTCGATCTGTAGATGTCACTTTCGGCCAATAACGAAAACTCGACTGTCCTATCTTTACGATTGTGTGAAAGAAGGTGGGCCTATATCGCTATCACCAATCAGACCAGCATTCCTTCCACGCGCCAACTTTCTAGCTCTGCGCAGTACATGCGTCGAGTTTTTCGTGAGATACGAAAGTCAAAGATATATCACGTACAACGTCATTGATAATAAATTTTTGTATAATTAAACAAACATCGAGCGAATTAATTTCTGGACATATTTTATACGTAAATTATTCTCTATCTCCAATGTTTGAAAGAAAACGTAAATAAAAACAAAAAAATTGCAGATAGAGAACGAAAATTGTTTCAAGATTAATTTAAACCAATTAATACGCATAAACGGATTGTTGTGGCAAACTTGTTACTACAAAATGGCGATTTTTATCGCTCCTGTTAAGGGGCTATCGTTGCAATCTGGCCTACAAAAATCGACTTCTTGGGGATTTTTTTCTAAGCAAACCGTGATACATATTGGCATGCAGTTTTCGCACTCGGATTTATTTATACTTAGAGAATATTTAAAATTTTTTTTTAACAAAATTAATGAAAATTGTGGAAATTATAATATCCTTAGGTAAATCATATTTTTAGAAATGGGCTCGAATGATTGGCGTTATTTTAGACCATTTGGTTACCGAAAACAAAAAACCAAAAAGCATTTTAATCAGTATAAGCACAGTTATAGCATAAATCACCAAAACAGCGAAATTTCGAAAATTAAAAAACTGGCAGCATTTTGAAGTTCACATATCGATTTTCCTCGTGCTTTTCGTCCTTTGAATGGTAAACAAAAATAAAAAGAATCGTCAGATTTTGAAACCCGTGGTTCACGCGATAAAGATACCTCCGGTGAAGATATGCTCCAAATTTTGAGTCAATCGATCAACTAAAACGCGAGATATCCCGTCAGCCAGTTTAAAAAATACGGTTCCGAGAAAAACGCGTTTGAAGTTTTTCTTACCCGTTGCGCGATGCCTGTATGCCTTACTTTAAACATGCATAACTTTGCTAATTTCACGAATTCGAACAAATCCTTTTACACAGAGATTTTCGAGGGCATACACTTTAAGAAAATGTAAGAAAAAAAAAATCGATTTTTTTAATCTGGATTACCCCTTGATATTTTTTACCGTTAAATTAACGAATATCGTTACGCGCCTACTTTGCAAGCCAACTCTGCATTTAGCATAGAATGTTGTATTTTATTTTGCTTCTCGTTTTACCTCGGTCATCCTATTTTCCCTGCTCTTCCGTGGAGAGCGATTTATTCAAATGTGACGCTAATTTTAATTAGGTTAAAAAAAATGCAGAACTTTTTAAGCTTTTATTTACTTTCGCCGTCCCCCTTTTCTCCCGTTAGTTTAATTTTCCAAAAAATTAAATAACACTCGTTTCCGTGTAATTAACTTTTCATCCTGGGATTTAAAACGATAATTCGAAATTAAAGGAAATGGCAAATATACCATTTCCTCCAAAATACTCGCTGCAAAATAATTTACTTTGAAACAAGAATGATTTATTAGACAGGTACAATTCCCCGTTCAAAAGTGTTACGTATATTTGTAAAACCAATTCAAAACAATTCTGATAACTAGGAAGAAAAAGAGAAGAATAAAAAGAAATGAAAAAGAAACTTGTTTAATTAAATTTCGAATTCATTTTTAATTAATAAACTTAGATATAGTTATTTAAAAAATCGAAAAACGAGAAAAAAGGAGTATAAATCGAAAAGGTAGTAATGGACAATATTATTCGCATGTTAAAATGGAGGATTACAAGAAGCACAATAATCCGAATCATAAAGATGGCTCATCACGATAGATTTGTTTCCCGGCACGGAGCACCGAAAATTCATTTGCCCAGCATTTCCTTTCATTGGATCGGAAAATGCAGTTTCGCGTATCGATTTTCTCACAATTTCCCCCATTTATTTCATTCTACCGCCGCTGGATTATTCCCCTCCCTGGCCGAGCTTGATAAAAGGATACGCAGAGAATGTACATACCTGATGGCCGAGGGTGATCCGCTATCCATGATCTCCCAATGAGCATTACGGGCCCCCTAGTGTTTAGCTACCTAAGCCAAGAGTCCCGAGCGAGTATAAAACTAATGCCACCAGCTTAGAAATGCATAGCTTATAAAATGCGTACCCGCGTGACGAGTTCGCTTGCTCCTCGTAATAATGGCGGCTACGAGTCCGATTTCGACAATCGAACGCGACCCTTCTATCAAGGAAACTTGCCTGCCTGCTGTCCAAACCTTTCCATTCTTTTCAGATCCCCCACCCTTCCCACTTCTCGTGGATCCTATCGATATCGTTTCTATGATTTCGATTGACGACGCTCATTTCGCGTCATTGCGATATACCAAAGCAATAAAATCCTCATATCGGTAATTAATATTACGAATAACGCGATTCACGTTGTCTGGAATTCGAGAAACCCGATGGAATTCGAAATATACCGATGAAGAAAGAAATGAAAAAATTCTGATTTTAAAGATTTCTATGGACGTTGGAACAGCCGAATGAGAACCACTGGTGGAGGGATTGTTCAGGAAGTTACAGGCAAATCGTGCAGCTTTGGACGTAATCGACATTGTTTCACCCTACACATTATTCCTTACTTGTTCTCAAATGACTTCTATTAGGACTGGAACGATTAGGAAATAAAACCATAAATTTTCGAGGAATTAATTTGCAATCGAAATATCAAGGAAAAATATTTAATAATTCGATAGCTTCAATGTAAATATCGTAAACATCTAGAAAGATGTCTATGAATCGTTAAAAAACAATTTCGAAATCAAATATCACTGCTAAGAGAGAAATTAGATAATGGAAAATACCTATGACGTCACAGAGCCATTTTGCCATACATTTTCTATGGATTAATTAACGAGCGTGTAAAGTAAATACTCGTTTAATTATATAATTCGTATCGCGAACGGTTTTCGAATTCGGTATGAAATAGCGCCACCACACGCGATTGGTCGTCACACTTTTATCACGGTTATAACTCCGACTCCCGTGTATTGTTTATTCGCGTGGAACCATGGGAGCATCGTGTAAACGTAACAGCTAACGACTTGGGATTTCGCCGCACACACGCCGCGCGTGAGCGCACGAACGAACTGCCGATATTGTGCAACGCGAGTGATCGTGTCTCTAAGCTCGGCTCGGCACTCGTAACTGCGAGAAGTATCGAAGCATTTCCGTTCTACTGTCTCGTATCGTCTCGAATGTAATTAACGCTTGTTAGAGTGACTCAACGGTCGAGAAGTACGGGCACGAACGAGCCAATTTGATCGTGCGTGGAACAGTGTTCGAAGCATTAGTGCGATCGTTGTGCGTTACGTGTAGGTATATTTGTTGGCGATATAACACGCGGTATTTTTGACACGTTGTCACCTCTAACACGTGTACATCAACGAGAATGTGGAAATAGATACATGATACAGAAGCACATCGAGAGTATTATTACGATCCAGCGTAGTCGGCGAAAGCGATATTGTGAGGTTAGAAAATCAGTCAAGCGTGAAAGTACGCGTGTTCCGAACATTGAAACGGAAATTTGAGATGATTCAAGGAAAGATAAGAAGTGCCGAACTTGCCAGGACTGTATAACGTTTACTTCAAAATTAATTCTCGAAGGTTATCGTATAAATAAAAGTACAAAATTTATGCGGGAATTTCAGATTACTTCGAACTAGTCTTCGCGTAAAATCAAATTTTCTTCGCGTTCTGATTCATCAATTCTCGAATACTTATTTGTCTTTAACTCGTTCTGCGAGTTTGGAACCTTCGATTTTATGACACATCGTCGAATCACTAAATTAATTTCGAAGAACCGACTGCAGGTGATTAGTAATTACAATTATGAGATTGCTTTTCATGCTCCGTCATAATTTCATTTTAATAATTGTAAATATCAAGCCTGCTGCAATTACGGGGAAAATCTACGTTCTAATTCTCAACGGTCTACATTAATTTTAATTTCTAGAATTTTTTCTCTTTGCTTTTACATTAATTCTTTTCAGTGCGATGATGACTACTCGGTAGAAGGTGTTGGTGGATTAATACTGTGAAACTCGGAAACACGGTGTGTAGAGGTGAAGCGACGTTTGTGATCTGGAATTCGAGAGTTCACGCGTGATGCGGGTGCGTATCGACACGCGTACGGTCCTGGGGGCGGCTAAATCAAACGGTGTCACCGTTTAATGCTTTAATTTACGAGCCTGCAATATCGCTTCCACTAAACTGTACGAAGTTATACAAGTAAGAGCCACGTGTTAATCAATTAAATGCGTTTTTAATTGATCTAATGACTAAGAAAACACGATATATCCTGTATCATTGTTAAACAAAGGTTTTGGATATCTCTTAACGCTTATGCGAACAATTATAATCTTTATTAATAGAAATTTCGCAAACAAAGCGTTGCCTTACGCAGATAGGAATTATAAATAACGGTATAATGCTATAGAGAATAACCTATAATTTTTCATGCAAATTTCGTTGGTGTGATCTGGCTGTAAAAATAACATAAAAATATATGTAAATGTTTGATTGCAGGGTTGTAACGAAAAATATACACGTGATATGAAGGAAATATTTTGATACATTTTGAAATGTGTTTCATCTACGAAGCCAGATATCGATGTACGTTACGATGTTGTTTGATCTTAGCAAATGTTACACGACAACATTAGGTTCGTAAACATAAGTTTGCGTGGAAAGGAAACATTGTTATTTATGGTAACTCGTGTCGATATTCGACTATATCACGACGTTCGAAAAATGATTGTTACACGTGTTTGTTTATAACAATATTTACTACTCTTTCACCTATTAAATTGTAATTTTTTATTAATAATAATGTAGTTAATAACGATTAATAAGAATTTATCTTTCAGAGATCAATGGATGAAAATTTTATGACGTAATTTGAATCAGAAACACGAAATAAGAAATCGGAGACATAGGGTCAAAAAGTATGGTAATTTGAGGGTGCATTTTGAGAAGATTATTTGTTATTAATCTATCAATTACTTTATTAAATTTTCTTTATTAATTTTTTTTTATTAAATCTTTTTGTTATTTCAGATAAGAACAAATATTTATCAATTCTAGAAGAAAATTTATTGAATTATATATCGAATATGAATATAATAGGGGAATTTTAATAGGACACTCAAGATAAATTTAAAATTATTATAAAACTACTGGAAAATAATGCAAAATGAAAGTAGCGGAAGAACAGAAGATTGCAAACCTATGTTATATAACTATTAGATGAAAATTATTTTTAATATATCGAATTGTACAAAATAAATCCGTGTTTCTCAACCTCTTGTATTTCCTGTTTTATATTTTCGTACACATAGTTAAATCTATAGAATAACTATAGAAACTCTAGTATAATAACGATAATTAAATTACAAAAAAATATATATATTAAATTTTATATTTATATATTATATTCTTAATTATACATTACATAAAATACGTGTATTTATTTCAATAACGATTTTGTTCTTTTAGATACATTTAAAATTAATCATTTAGTTTATGTCTTCTTCTATGAAAAATCACACAAATTAAAGGAATAAAATATATTTCTTAACTAATGCATTTATTTCGATACTTTAACAAATAATTAATCCCTTAACACCATTATAAGTGAACACATGTATTCATTTCTCGAATCATTACAATGAATATTAATTATACTTAATTGTACCTATAATTAATCATTTTAATTATAAAAATAAAGTCATTATGATAATATAAGATGGAAATACGGGATTCTCTCATAAAGCATTTATAAATTTTCTATAACACTTACATATATATTTACATAATAATTTAATAATACTTTCAGCTAGAGAAATCCTGGCTAAATTTACATCGAAACGTATTACGTATGCATCATGTACATACTCTTGAGCATTCCCTAATTAATTTATACAAGATAAACAGTAGTATTACGACAAATGCTTCGATACGTTTACAATTAATACAATTTATACATATTAATAATCATACGTAATTGAAACTATAGTAATTAAATTTGTATCAGTCACAGTTTGATTAGCAAGGGAAACGCAAATACTTTAAAAACTATAGCTAATCAACATAACTCGTATTCTCTACTATTAACTAGGTTCATTATCGGTTATTGATATTTGTCAAAGACACCATAGCATAATCCGTATTATAATGAATATTCCGTTCATTAGCGAGTTCAGGATTAGTCGTGGATTGCAGATTAATATGCTTAATCGGCAGCAAAGGCAAAGGGTTATCTTTCAATCCCTGTCCTTTCCCAGCCTTTTCCTAGATTAATTACCGGTAACTTGCTAGCTTTCATCTCTTATGCACATATGCGTTATTTATACAACTACATAAGCGCACTAAATATAAAATTAAAACATTCGAGTAGTCTTGATGCATTTTGTATATAATGATACATTTTGAAGTACTATATAGGATATTCGATATAATTTTTATTCTATTATTACCATTCTACGCATATAGTTATGTTTGATATACTGTAACTGTATTACTCATAACAATATTAATAAATAAAATAATACCAATAATAATTAGAAAAAGTACCAATTGCAAGTAATTAAAAACAGTAATTAAATACTATATAGGATATTCGATATAATTTTTATTCTATTATTACCATTCTACGTATATAGTTATGTCTGATATACTGTAACTGTATTACTCATAACAATATTAATAAATAAAATAATACCAATAATAATTAGAAAAAGTACCAATTGCAAGTAATTAAAAACAGTAATTAAATACTATATAGGATATTCGATATAATTTTTATTCTATTATTACCATTCTACGTATATAGTTATGTCTGATATACTGTAACTGTATTACTCATAACAATATTAATAAATAAAATAATACCAATAATAATTAGGAAAAGTACCAATTGCAAGTAATTAAAAAAAGTCAAAATTTCATTAAAAATGCATGTTCCTGTATTTATTAAAATAATATATATATACAACAGAATATTTCTGATCTTGAATAAGTAGTAATTAATTTATGCAACAAGTATTTATTAATAAATGGTCCAAGATTATTTACGAAATTTAATTATTGCACTGTTAATTATTACAAAGTCGATTTTCTTTGCTAAAGATAATGAAGTTTCAAATAAAAAAATTGTATTCTTTATTTTCCATTTTTCACGTAGAATCAACCCCTTCCCGGTTGTACTATCGTTACTAACAATGAGACACCCTGTATATTTATATCAGAAATCATAATATAGTATAATTATTGAACAATTTTGTTTTCCTGGAAAAGCAATATTTGTGGATTTTTATAAATAACGTATTTTTCAAAGGCGACATGTCTGCTCGAAATTGCAGTCATGTTTCACTTGAAAACTATGCGTGCATCACCTACGGCAACAACTATTTTCGTAGACAAGACTCACATTGCGATGGTAAATAACTTTGTAAAACGAAAATTTTGGAATTGTAAAAGAAAACAGTTTCACGTTCGATACGAAAGAATCCTGACTTTGATTTTCAATGGCAAGGAAAATAGACATTATATTTTCAATGAAATATTTTTACACGATATTTCAGATCGACAAAAATCTGACATTATTTCAAATATACACCAAGAGACACAAAATTTGGAAATATACAAAAATGAATAAAAATTTCACGTTTATTGAAAATAATACTTATTCTTTATATTATAGAAATGGAAAGAACATCAACACTTACAAAAACTTGTATGGACACAACACCTGTGTAAAGAAAGCGTTAACAAGAAAATTAATTATTTTCTTTTCTACAAAATCGATAAAATCTCGGAAATCATACTCTGCAAAAAAGAGAGATATGAACCGCGAGTTATTATAGTGATTAAAATAATTAAAAGTCATAAATTTAATGGGAAATAAAAGCACTAATTGCATCCAACGAAAAGCAGTTGCATGTATATATATTACACGTACAGTACAGGACAAAAGTATACGCGTGTGTGGTAGGAATGTGAAAATAGAAGGAATTGTACTTTCTACGTTATTAATTGTATTAACAACAATATGATTGTACATTATAAAGCAAGATTTAATAGTAAGAAATATTAAAAAAGTGAAAGTTCACTGCGATATTTTGTAATTTATAGCGACCAAAAATTTACGTAATGGTAATATACTGTATTAACCATGATGCTAGACATCGACACGAAATTATTTGTATTATAATCTACACATTACAATTAATATTTCGTAATGTAACCTTTTCACGAATTACAACTGTAATATTAAATGCAAAACAAAATCTATCGATATTCTAATAGCTATCGATTTTGTTTGCACTTGGATTAATTTCGTTTAACACACTTTTTAGTCAAATTCTATTGAACTGCAATACCTATAACAATTCAATAAAATTAAATTTATATTCATATTATAAATAAATCTTTTACATTATAAAATTATATAAATAAATATAAATTAATAAATCTTAATTAACAAAGTATAAAAATTAAATAAAATAAACAAAATTATGGAATATTAATTAATTCGTTCCAACATATTGATTATTATCAAGGTAGTAATTTTCATTTTTTTTTAAATTATTATAAAATGAAATTTAACGTTAACAAACTCCGCAAGAATGTCCAAATCATATTGAAATATAACCATACGGGGTGTCGTATTTTCCCACACGAATTCCATCAACTTGTTCTACAAATAAAAATAAAGTTACAATATCACGCAAGAAGTCCATAAATATTTTACAAAACAATAATAATAAAAATACGAAACGCGTAATACACGTTTTAGCTGTGTTTGAATTTCAAAAAAATATAGATACAATTGACTTACAATAATTTTCTTCAGTTTTGACACCTTCAATCCTGATTAGCATCATCCATTAACTTAATTTTCAATAAATACTCCAATAGTAAATCTCCATTCTAATACCCCCTCCCCTCCACCCCCCCTGGAGAAAAGAAAAGAAAGCTGTATTATCTATCATATTTTATTTTTATTGTTTAATATTTTGGTGCCAAATTATTTGCGTATAAAACAATTAGTCAAATTCTGTGCGGTAAATGCTTGGAACACCCTGTATATACAATGGAGAAAATTGAAAGATACACTCGATGCTTGTCAACAACGGAGGTTAGGAAACGCAATTTGGGAATAAAACACTAATTAAGAGCGGATAATGAAGTAGCATTCACGCAATGGAACGTTAACGGTGATTAATCGTTGCCAGGGAAACGGTTTAAGCATAAAACATGTGGGAAGGGAGGTGGAATTCAGTGTTAGCCTCCCTCGCGTAGGTATGAAAAGCAGACCTGATTTGCCAACCGTTTCGCTATGTAGAACATTTCATTCGTAATTCCGGGAGTTTGCCGTTGCCAAGTTGGCAACTAAGAGTCGATCGATAAACTCAGATTATTCTGGCTGGCTTCGTTCCCTGCGTATATTCACGGGCTTCCAGTAAAGTTCGCGTACACACCAGGAATTCGCGTGGAACCCGACGGTTTTGCATTCTTCATAAACTTAACCTGTACATTGGCCGCTTTTTACGCGCCGCCCTTTCCCTCGCTTAACGTCAACTCGACGGACGCGACGCCGGCCCCATCTGTCGTCGCCGGCGCGAAGCTCCGCTGGACTGCGCGAACGTTACTTTCGTTTTTCCACGTAGAACAGGCCTCGCGTCATTTCTCGTGGATACGCGGTTCGAGATTCGAATTTAACGAGTTAACGAAGTTATACGTTCGATGAGATTGAGTTTGCGAGATATGCTGGAGGGAATAATAAGTTACTCCGTTTAGTTTCGCAAGAACGTGGCGGCACGTAGATTTCGTGTGTGATTTAGCTGTATTGTGTTTATCTTATATCTCTTTTCGCTATTCTTAGATTCACGGAAGCGAAATTTGTTTCAACGGTATGTATCGGTATACGCTTTTCTTCTCTCTGAAAATTTATTTAG